TTTGCCAAAACCTGTCAGAATTAGACCATGATTAAAGCTCAAACCTGTCAGAATTAGATCAGCATTGAAGTCCAAACTTGTCAGAATTAGATCATTGAAGTCCAAACCTGCCAGAATTAGACAACCATTCTGAGCATTCCTTTTTGCCAAAACCTGTCAGAATTAGACCATGATTAAAGCTCAAACCTGTCAGAATTAGATCAGCATTGAAGTCCAAACTTGTCAGAATTAGATCATTGAAGTCCAAACCTGCCAGAATTAGACACCCATTCTGAGCATTCCTTTTTGCCAAAACCTGTCATATTAGACCATGATTAAAGCCCAAACCTGTCAGAATTAGATCAGCATTGAAGTCCAAACTTGTCAGAATTAGTCCACCATTCCGAGCATTCCTTGTTGCCAAAACCTGTCAGAATTAGATCATGATTGAAGTCCAAACCTGTCAGAATTAGACCACCATTCCGAGCATTCTTTGTTGCCAAAACTTGTTAGAAGAAAAACATGATTCCGATCATATACTAAAGCCCAAACCAGTCAGAAATATAGCATCATTCCGAGCATGTACTAAAGCCTAAACCTGCCGAATTTATAACATCATTACAAACACTCTCTAAAGCCTACACCTGTCAGAAATATATCATCATTACAAATATTCACTAAAGCCCAAGCCTTTCAGAAATAGACCATCATTCTAAATATTCACTAAAGTTAGGAGCTCACCACTCAACAGCTGTCTTCCTGCAAGGTATGGGGGGTCATCTCTACTCCACCAAATGGCCATGTGTAAATAGTCAAGACAAACTGAGCTGTGAGAGAATGTAACACCTGTAAACTGAGACGTAATAAATAAATATCTAGTTATGTAGATTTATTACGTTTAGATATGTTAAATTTGATAAATGTATTCATATTGTAAAAATATACTCTAAATTTCATGAATAATAGTACAAAAGCGAAATTGTACTGGGATCAAGTGGTTATAAATTAAGAAAATATATTAAACTTATCCACATTTTTTCAAATTGTTAGGCGTTCTCATGCCTTTCTGGCTTAAATACCTGTTTCATGATTTTCAGGATGCCCCAAAGACCAACCTTTTTTTTCGTTGAGGTACAGCTTGCACCAAGCTGATGAAGGCCAACAGCCCAAAACACGTACATGTTTAGATTTTCTTGATTAAAAAAGTAATGGTATTTAGCCAATTCTGGAATAATTAAAAATCAACGATTGGTTGATATTTATTCCGATAGATGACGCAAGCCATCAGCAACCTTTAGTTACACGTTCAGGAGATGCCTTTTTTCTTTATTAAATTTTATATCTCGCTTTTCAATTTAGTTGCATACAATAAATAAGTAATTGGAGAATTTGATTTATTTTCTTTAAATAATAATTTCAAATGAACAATTTTGATGTAACAATCTTCTTCTTCTTTCTTATCTCCACTCAATCATATTAGGGTGTTAAGCTTGTAAAGCTTTTTGATGGTGTCTGTTGACAACCATCATGATTGGGTGAAGTAGAATGCGTCTGCCTTTATCATTAAGACTGGGAGCACTACTCAGTGGCAGGCAGACTTTGCTCTAAAAGAAATAGCTGCCTCTGACATGAGGAACAGACGCCATGTGCAGCTGCTCCTAACATGGAGTACAAACGCTGCTCATCCTTTATCCCTGGATTAGGAGCCCTTACAGGGTACTATCAGCCGGGCCAGCTGAACCCAGGTTTTTTAGTGAGCTTGTTACTGCTCCCCCTCCTTCTTTTTTATCCGGGCTTGGGACCGGCAAAGGCGGAGTTTGATGTAATAATGATAATGCACAATTTGGAATATAAATTGAAGAATATTATTTTATTCAAAAGAAAGGTGCTACAATTAACAGAATGGAAGAAAGAGAAAATATCCATTATATTTACAAATATGCTTTTAATTACAGAGGGTGTTTCCTTTCAAATGAAACGATTTCAAACGTCCGTTAGAACTTTATTTTTCGAACGTGAATTTTTTTCATGTGTTCTATGTGCTTCCCCTTCTTCTTGGCTATCTCCCTGCATCGGACTTTCCAAGCTGCGAACACTTCCTTGACTTTGGAGAGCGAAACATTCGACCACTCCTCTTGTGCGGCTTTCCAAAGTCCGGCCTCAGTTTTGGGACGTCGGTTGAAGAGCCGTTGTTTCAACATACCGAACCCGTAAAAATCCAGTGGGCTGGCGTCGGGAGACTTCACTGGAATGTCCGAGTTCCTGATAAAATTTAGGCCTAGGGTGTCCTTCATTTCTTGTAGGAACTGTTGGGTTTTGTTGGAGGTATGGGAAGAGGCTTTGTCGTGATGAAGGAACACTTTGTCCATTTCCCCTGGGTAAAGGTCCTTCAGTTGTTCGATGACAGGTTTCAGAACGCATTCTATATAGAATTCTGAGTTCACCTTCACCTTCGATGGAACCTTTATGAGCGGAAGGACTCCACGGCCAGTCATTACCCCGACAACCATGAAACCTTTAGGGAAAGTTTCGGAGCATTGGTGAACCCAATTATCCGGGACCTGATTGCCTCTTTTGATGTAACAGATCTTCCGGATTCCATTGCAATACGTCACATACATCCATGCTTCGTCCAATGTTGCAGTATATTCCGATCTGGAACCGGCCAGGTGTTCCTCGTAGAGCTTCCGGGCATTCGTTGCACGGTTTTTCATGTGGAAAGGGGTGAGCTTGTGAACCTTGCCTTTTCGTCGGGTATCCAGTTCCAAATCTTTGTGAATGATGTTATTTATCGTTTTTAGCGATGTTCCACACATTCTGGAAAGTTGGCGCTGAGATGGTGGATTTTCAGTAGTTGCTAGCCGCTTTACCTTGGAAACCGTGGCGGGGGTCCGCACCGGACGTGGTCGATCGACTTGAAATTTTTGCCCATTGGATTCAGCTTCCCTTTTCTTTCCGATGCCATTTACTACCCTACATATTGTAGCTTTGCCAACATCTAGTCCTTCTGCTTTTAGCTTTTTCACTATGACGCTATAACTGTTTCCTTCTTTGGAAAGCCGCACAAGAGGAGTGGTCGAATGTTTCGCTCTCCAAAGTCAAGGAAGTGTTTGCAGCTTGGAAAGTCCGATGCAGGGAGATAGCCAAGAAGAAGGGGAAGCACATAGAACACATGAAAAAAATTCACGTTCGAAAAATAAAGTTCTAACGGACGTTTGAAATCGTTTCATTTGAAAGGAAACACCCTCCGTATATCTAAAAAAGGGGGTTTTCGACTTCTGATTTTAATAATAATATTTTAGGGTTCTTAGATAACTATCTTATTATATGCTATCTTGTTTACACACTTTGATAACAGTAACTATTCAAAACATGCTGTGGTAAAAATTCTCATTCAGTACTTTTGTCTGAAGATGGTAACAACGCTATAACTGAAACGTCACACACTAATTTTCATTTGGATTTGGTCTTATTACCTTGTGTTTATAATTTTGATTTAAGTATTTGATGAAAATGCTTTTTTTCTCTCTCTTTCTCCTTGCTAATATCATATGACTATTCTTTACGGCCTAAAATGATTGTAAATATATATAGAAAACTGTAGAAACATACATGTATGACAGCGCAAGTGTCCCTAGGGGGTTTAAGCGCTTTAAGTTGAAATTAAAAAAATATGTATGAGAATTCGAAACTAATATAGACGCGTATGATTCTTTTGAAAATTAAACAATTTCGTACTGTCTTTACTGCAATGAAAATTAATAGGAGGGCCTGGCTCATCAGTGGTGAACCCTCCCAGCGGCTTAATCTACCATACCACTGTTATATTGCATTTTCGGTTTTCCTTATATACTTATACACTTTTAGACTCTTTAAATGGGTATTTTATATGAACTATGCACATAAGTTTTGAGGACAGAAGAAATACATACGAATATAAATTTATAATATGCTTAGAACAATCGCTTTTCCGCAAACATCAAATTGAGTTTTTTATTAGAAATATTGCCATGCGGAAAATTAAGAAATACAAACTTCAGGGAGACAAGCAATTTATTTACACGGCGGTGGAATCCTGAATCCAGTCCATGAAAATGTAGATCACAGCACCCATTGCCTCAAGGTCTTCTCGACGATCTTCAGTTCGTCTTCCCTAACTTACCCAGCATCTCCACCAAAATGCGACGTGGAAAATTAGGAAAGACAAACTTCAGGGGACATAGCAATTTATTTAAGGCAAGAACAAACTATGAATGATAAAAAAAAAAAGTTAAGAAATGAGGGCAGTTTACAGAGTAGCAAAATATTAACATAAAAATGATACTCTGTTAATAAAATTATAAATACTTTGCTACAATATGATACATTAGTGCGCCATCTGTTATGTAGGATTTATCAGTGGATAAACCTGGAACCAGTGGTGGCCGCAATCTTGCCAGGCAGGAGTTGGTTACGTTGCCTCACTCCGTAGCCTTGGATAGACAGACAGACATTGTGTTCCCATCAGCACCAATACATTTCACACGGTGACATAGGACAGACAATAGCAACGACAGGAATTTATCGCCACCCTGATTGGGCAAGGTGTACTATAGGTGTCTGTGATCTCTTTTTGTTCCCCATTTTGATTTATATAGGAAGAGAGAGAGATTGACTCTACTTTATTACAATGTCCATATAAAATTATATAAGGGTAAATACAAAATTGAATAAATAAGATTAAATAAGGATAAATATAGATGAATAAATGTAATTTTTAAAATTGATAAATGTACATACATGTACATGGTATATATATAAAAAATATATACGAGTCTTCATTGGTAGCGCCCACCGCGGGAAAGACTCCGCCACCGATGGACTGCAAGTGTTCTCTCCCACAGAGTGGGCAGGTTGATGTGATGGCTGGCGTTGTCCAACTCAAGACCAAGATGGTACTTGTAGATGGTAGCCTTCGCTACACTTGAGAGAGAATATGGTTATACGGGTTACTAACCAAAGTGTATGAATTTCGAAAAATGTTCCCACGCCGGGAATCGAACCCGTGCCATCTGGGTGAAAGTCAGATATATTAGCTACTAGACTACATGGAAATGTAAATATTCCGACATCGGGAATCTTACCCGTATTTCTTAGGTGAGTGAAGATTATATAGGGAATAAAATATTAAAACGCGAATTCTTTTTTTAAAAATAAAACAAACTTCTACTGTCCTTACTGCGATTAAAAAACTATTGGTATATACAATCTCTTTTTGTTTCTTTTCCATTTATACAGGAAATAAAAGCTTTAAAATCCGAATGGTTCTTTTACAAATAAAACAAACTTCTACTCACACGAAATAGAGAACACTGCTGTGATAGAGATGCATGGAGACATCTGAAGCTCTTCATTGGACACGACAACAACAACTAACTTTCCTGTCCTTACTGCGATGAACCATTGGTTTTTATGATCTCTTTTTGTTCCTTTTTCATTTATATAGAAAATAAAAACCATAAAACACGAATGCTTAGTTTACAAATAATACAAACTTCTACTGTCCTTACTGCGATTAACCATTGGTATATACGGTATTTTTTGTTCCCCTTTTTGGTTTATAAGCAAATAAAATTATTAAAACACGAATGTTTTTTCACAAATAAAACAAAATTCTACTCACCCAAGATAGAGGACATTGCGACTGCTGTGATAGAAATGCACGGAGACATCTGAGGTTCTTCATTGGACACAGCAACAACAACAACAGAAAATTGACATGGACCCAGAACAGCAGCTTTGCACACCCAAGATAGAGAACATTGCTGTGCTGGAGATGTAGGGAGACATCTGAGGCTCTTCATTAGACACGACAACAACAACAACCTTCTACTATCCTTACTGGGATTTAAAAATATTGGAAGAGTTTGGCTCATCAATGGTGAACGGAGAAACTTTCCATCGCAGTAAAGACAATTATGAAGATTGATTGATGTGTAAAAGAAACATTTATGATTTAATTCTTTCATGTATATAGATGACGCGTTATCGTTTAATAATTAATTATTGATTTATGTTACTTGAAGTGTATATCATGAAGATAGAGATTGCCTGGCCGGCATTCATATTTCTGTGAAATAGACTCTTCGGCCAGTTAAAGTTTTATTTCGTCAACGTTTCAATAAAAATCTTTTGTCTTCATCAGTAAAATTATATAAAAATAAAGCATTTGTCAAGGCGTTTAAAATTGTTGTGTTGAAGTGTATAGTTGTTTTAAGCATAGTATATATTCCTGCGTGTAGTACTGTACATTATCTCATTATATGTGAAATTAGTATAAAAGTTAAATTGTACTGGGATCTGGTAGATAAATTAAGGGAAAAAAAAACTTCTCCTCTAATCGTTTAGCTAAAATTTATGATGGCTTGCGCCATCTATCGGAATATATATTATCTAATTGTTAAGTTTTAATTATCCAGAATAAAAATTAGTGTTTTTTGATCAATCAAGAAAGATTATAATTTAAAAAGGAACAATGCGTTGATATTCATTCCGGCAGATGGTGCAAGTTATCATAAATGCTTAGTTTCACAATTAAAATAAGCTTTTTCTCAAATAAATGATTGTGCCACAAATATATGTCATGATATTGTGCCACTAAAATAATAAACAATAAAATAATAACAAAACTCGTTCGTGGTTGGCCTTTCTTGATTTATCAAGAAAATGGGTTGGCCAAATATCAAGGAACAGGCTAAATCAATGTTTAGTTGATTTATGTTGCACTAGATAACGCTATGACATCTACAAAGCTCATGTGGTCAGGATATGCCTTTTTTTAATAGCTGTATATACAATGCGTATATACAATAAACGTACATACAATACGTACTATACTGTATATACGTGTATGTGGTGTGAGGTCCTGTCGACTTGTCTGTGATAAGGTCCTGTCGACTCTCGCTATAGCTGTGATAACCGAGGTTCAAACCTGTAGTAACCGAGAGGGACAGTCAGGACGTGGAGCGTTTTCCAGTACCTCTCTGCACCTTGGAAGACCTTTAAAAGTTCTCACAAAGTACAGGCAGTCTTGGTCGAGGCAGAGTGGAAAGCTTGGGAATGTCCACACACAAAAAACGAAGAGACACAGTTGTAGTAGGAAAGTTCCGTGAACAGAGTTCTTACTGTTTTACATGGCGATGAGGTGGTCCTGGGTACAACCGACGAGGGCTCACGCCGATTGTGAAGTCCCTAAGTAACATTTCGGCTAGGGCATATGTTTTATATCTTTGCCGAGGGGGGGGGGGGGGGAGACATGCGAGAATTTGGACTTTGAACGGGTGTAAAGTGCGTGGGGTGTCTGCGGTATTTTATACACCCTTTGGACCTGATGGCAACGGGTTGCCAAACTCCTCTTTAGGGTTGTTGGATTTCTATCTCGATCTCTTTCTTAGCTCAGCTCTTAATCTATTACATAGTTTTATTTATTCATCCTCAGTTTGTACAAAGTACATTACATATGATGATGCAATGACACATGTCAATCTTGCGTAAAACTATCTATAGATGTGTTTCTATATACAACATGACAATCTTGTTATAAGTATTATACAATATAGGGTTGTTGGTTTAAATTACCATATGTATGTACACATTTCTTTAGAAAGGGAGGCTTCCTCACCTTGATAGAGTCCTCCTTGACCTTCTTGAACACTCCTCAGTTTCATGCCGAGGAAGTACTTAAAAAGATAGAGAGGGATAGAGCAAGATAAAGAACAGGCATCATAGAATGGTATAAGAAGAATTCATATTTTCCTAAAAACTCAGAAACATCAATCGGACAATTTTCCAACCAGACAATCACTGCACACAATAGACCAGTTCAAACCTTTGCCTAGATAAGTTTTTCTTAATTACAACTATCCCTATATTTGTAATTAGTGATATCTTGCCTTAAAGCATACTTTATATATTTTATGCATATAACTCTTTAATATAAGCAATAACGTGTCATCTATATATAACGAATTAAGACATTAAGACACGAATGTTTCTTTTCACACACACAAGCCTTTATTAAGACATTCTGTCTTATACAGACGATTCTCCTGTTAGAAATGAATCTAAGTATAAATGAGAAGCAGGGGAAGAAATTGAATCCTCGCTCAGAAAAGAGAAAAAGAAGAAAAGGAAATGATATCTATGTACAAAAGTTGAGACTGGTTTCTTTTCACAAATATATCAATTTTCTCTCTCTACAGCCCTTACTTCAATGGAAAAATTTTGGGAGGGCTTGGCTCATCATTTAAATGTAATTCTACTATCCTAAAAGTCAATAGTTTTCTTAAATACCATTTCTTTAATTCCATCTTTCAGTGTAACATATAAAAGGAGAATGATCCAATACAGTATTAGAGCTCTAAAAAAGTGGTCTGGCGGATTAAATTGGTGAAACCGTTTGGAGGTTCACCAATGATGAGCCAAGCCCTCCCAATATTTTTTCATTGCAGTAAGAACAGTAGAAGTTTGATTTATATGTAGAAAGACACATTCGCGTTTTAATATATTATTTTTTTATATAATTCTTTGCCAAAAATATATTTTACATACTTTTAAATATAATCTATACAAAATCACATTGCCGCGGTATGTATACAAAGCCAACTTTGTATCAGCGTCCCTTGCAATTTTACACCAGCTAAAGGACCGAAATGTTTGAAAGCTTGAGAAATCATTTACAATTAAAGAAAGTTTCGTCTCCTCATTTGTATACTGCTTTTAATATATGTACTTAACGAGACACTTCTCACTTTAAAAATGCATTAAAACAATGGACTTTGATTAATCATTCTAGTATAGAACGCTATGGTGGTGATGAAAGATGAGCTACAACACCAGTTTTGGCAAATACGGACAAAAGTCAACCTATATACCATGGTTTCGGGTTTTGGCTCTCATTCGATTCCAAGAAATATCTTTAGAAGATTGGATGGTTGAGAAAAGATCTCGTTTGTCATTTTAAATTATAGCAGTGTGGTTTATACTTGTTTCGAATTCTAACAGCAGATGGCTAGATAATGTATCATAATATAATTGTTCTAATTAAAAACTCAATTTGATGTTTTCGGAAGAGCGATTGCTCGAAGTATATTATATATTTATAATTATATGTATTTCTACAGTCCTCAAAGCTTATATCCATTAAAAATAACATTTCCAAGAGATCAGCGCCAGTATCGGTATAAAAGGAAAACTGAAAAATGCAATATATAAGCGATATGGTATATTTAAATGGCGAAACCGCAATGAGGGTTCACCACTGATAAGGCAGCCCCCCAATATTTATCATTGCAGTAAGGGAAGTAGATAAGTGAATAATTTGTAAAGAATCATACGCGTCTACAATAGTTTCTAATTCTTATTCGAGAGTTTGTTTGGAATTATTTGTTGAGAGAAATGGGTTCAAATCCACGGAAATAAACGGAACGAGTGGATTGGGCAATAGCACAGGAAGTATTCGTAATCAGCCGGGCCAGAGTTGACGTGATGAAATGTTGACAGTCGTCCTTCTTGGGCTGTTTGGACTCATCCCACACACCTGGTGTACTGGTCCTTTTGTGGCTTGGTAGTTTACCTCTTTCAAGGTGTAGTTTATCACTTGTTTCATGATAGTTTTCCTCTTGTCTCTCTCACGGTGTAGTTTATCACTTGTTTCATAGTAGTTTACTTCTTGTCTATCTCACGGTATAGTTCACCACTTATTTGACGGTACTTTGCCTCTTGTCTCACGGTATAGTTTATCACTTATCTCACGGTAGTTTGCCTATTGTTTCACGGTATAGTTCATACTATTTATATCACGGTAATTTACTTCTACCTCATAGCATTGGTTATCACTTGTAGCCTGGTAGTTTACCTATGATATCACGATATAGTCTACTGTTTATTTCAGGATTGTTTACCTCTTGTCTCACGGTATAGTTCATACCACTTATTCCACGGTATTTTACTTCTATCTCATGGTATTATTTATCACTTGTAGCCTGGTAGTTTACCTATGGTATCACGGTATTTTCTACCGCTTATTCCAGGATAGTTTACCTCTTGTCTCACG